TGATTACAAGTCAGTTGCACTAGCACATTTTTATGATTACATTGAGAACAGTGAACTTCATCAACGCCACCAAGTTTCGACCAACACTGGCAAGATTTTCCATAATATTCCAATTTTAACACTTCCGTTTTGTTAACTACTGCAATCTGGTGTCAATGCCGACGAGGTGCCAAGAATGGGCGTTTCTTACTCCAACCATTATATGTATATAAAATCTTAACGAACTGAAATTTAGAACATTTTCACAACCACCTACAAGGAATTTGAGCTTCTCAAAAATTGAATCCTCTAACCTACATAAGTTCCCCGGAAAATNTGCGATCTTTACCTCAACAGTGTGAGGGTAGGAAACGATTTAGTTCAAAAGTGAGGGCAAGAAACACTCCGATTAGTAGGGGGAGGGGAACAAAGAGAATAGCAAGGATGAGAGAGAGAGAGAAAGAAAGAGAGACAGTACTGTGTGTGTCGACTGAAATAANAGAAGCAACTAGATATTAGTTTATGGCAACAAAAACAAATCAATGCCACCACCTGAAAATAAGATTCTTCACTCACAAGCTTATCTTATTGAATCTTCCGCTTAAAGTGGTCCAATCAGAACCCTATGTTAAAAAGGCTCAGTTACAAGAACATAAAAATAAAAAGAAAATAAGGCTTCTGCTGGAACACCCTAGTACTCTCTTAGATTTGAATTTGTTACTCCACTTTTTGTTTCATAGAATAATAAAATCAAAGCAAATCCCAGGAACTCTCCAAAACAGAGCAGGAACAAATTCACAGAAATGCAAATCACCCCCAAAAAGGATAAAAGTATAACAAACACCCTTCACACAACAAAGATCCAATGTTTACTCAATACCCATCAAAGTCACCAAAAGACAAATAAAGGAAAAACTAAAAACGAATACACAAAAGCTTCTGCCCACTAGAATTTGCGATAAATTTTACAACTACAACCCAACCAAATACAATAAGAGCTGAATTTGTGGGGGAAAACAAGATAAAAATTCTAAGTTGTACATGTTACAAAGATAGATAAGAGAGATGTAACCAACCGTGGACTGAATCGATGGAGGCAGCGATGATCGATGGTGTTGTGGCTTCACTGGCTTGTGGTTTCTAGTTCAGTCAATGGAGAGGCAGAGAGAGAAGAGGTGAGAGGCAGAGTGTGTGTGTGTGTGTGTGTGGCTTTGAGTGCAATCGATGGAGAGGGAGAGAGAGGCGGTGAGAGGCAGAGAGAGTGTGTGTGTGTTGACTGAAACGAAGAGGGAAAGATGAGGAAAAAAGAGGGAAAGATGGGGAAAGAGGGAAAAAGAGTTGGGTAAAGGAAAAAAATTAAACAAAAAAAGGCAAAAAAATGCCTTGTTTTTTTAAAACATTATATTCGGCAACAAAAATAAAAACGTCGCAATTTAAAGTTTTTTCTATTTTATTTTAACTTTAAATGTGGTTATAATTTAAATGTTGCGACGAAAATAAAAAACGTCACAAATTAAATTTTTATTTATTTTTTAATATTCCCGACAAACTTATAAATATTATAGACAAACCTATAAAAAACGTTGTTAATNCAACAAATTTTTTTTTACCAAACTACAAAATTTTCATTTTTTGCCATTGCTTGCGCAAAAAAAGAGATAAAAAATGACAATTTTGCAACGAAAAAAAGTCATGCATTAAATATTTTGACTTTATGTTAATTTTAATTTTACCTTATTTATTTTTGCCATGAAGAAAAACTATATGAGCCAAACAAAACTTTTCTTGTAAAACATTATCAATTCCCATCGTTTATCGCGCAAAAAAAATTTATTCGGGAATCACCTTTTCGCAACGTTTTTTAAAAACGTCGCAAAAATATTTGCAACATAACTATTTGCGACACAATTATTAAATCGTCTCGGATAGTACATTTTTTGCGATGAAACAAAAATGTCGCAATTAATATTCTAATTCTAATTTAAAATTACAAAATAAATTCTAATTTGCCACCAATATTAGAACGTCAAGAAATTATCATTTTATTTAATATAAAATGTAAATTATATTCTGCGACAAATTTTTAAAAACGTCGCAAAAAAATACCTATTCCCGCCAACATAATAAAAAACGTTGCTATTTAATAGTAATTAAAATATATATTCTACAACGATAATATTAAATGTCGGGAATTAATTATTTTGACTTTATTTTGATTATGATTCAATATTATTTTTTTTTGTGACACATTGAAACTATCCCCGACAAAAAAAAAATTATCACAAAAAATTTTCAACTCCCGCCCTTTTCTCGAGCCAATAAATTTTGGTGGGAATCACCATTTTGCGACGTTTTCTAAAAACGTCGAAAAAAATTGCCAAATAAACTATTTGCGACAAAAATATGAAATCGTCGCACAAATTCTAAAAACATTGCAATTAATATTTTAATTCAAATTTAAAATTAATAATATTTTTATTTCATATCAAATAAAAATTATATTCTGCAACGAATTTATAAAAACGTCGGGTTTTGATCTTTTTAACGTAAAAATATTTTTTGGTGGGAATCACCTTTTCGCGACGTTTTCTAAAAAACGTCGCAAAAAATGCCAAATAAACTATTTGCGACAACAATATAAAGTCGTCGCGGAAAAATTAATTTTTTGCGACGAACACAAAACGTCGCGATTAATATTTTAATTCTAATTTATAATTTATAATTTAAAATTGAAAATTATTAATAATTTTATTTAATATAAAATAAAACTTATATTCTGCGATGACCTTTTGAAAACGTCGTGCAAAAACACCTATTCAAGCCCTTTTCACTCGCCAAAAATTTGGTGCGAATCACCTTTTCGCGACGTTTTTGTAAAATGTCGCAAAAAATTGCCAAATACACTATTTGCGACAAAAATATGAAATTGTCGCGGAAAATTTAGTTTTTTGCGACGCAAAATAAACATGTCGCAATTAATATTTTAATTCTAATTGAAAATTAAATTCTAATTTCCGACAATTATTAAAACGTCGCGAAATAATAATGTTATTTAATAAAAATATTATATTCTGCGACACATTTATAAAAACGTCGCAAAAAAATACATATTCCTGACAAAATATTTAAAAACGTCGCAAATTAATATTAANCTGACAATTATTAAAACGTCGCGAAATAATAATGTTATTTAATAAAAATATTATATTCTGCGACACATTTATAAAAACGTTGCAAAAAAATACATATTCCTGACAAAATATTTAAAAACGTCGCAAATTAATATTAATTAAAGTTTATATTCGACGGTGATAATATTAAACGTCGCGAATTAAATATTTTTAGTTTATTTTTATTGTTAATTTTTAATACTTTTTTTATGACGAAGTAAACTATCCGCGACAAACAAATTTTGTCGCAAACAATATCAACTCCCCCCATTTTTCTTGCGCCAAAAAGAATTTGGTGGGAAATACCTTTTTTGCGACATTTTTTAAAAAACGTCGCAAAAATTTTTGCCAAAATCAATTTTTGCGAGAAAATTATGAAAGCGTCGCGGAAAGTTCATTTTTGCGACGAAAATATAAACGTCGCAAAAAATTTCGTCGCAAAAAATAATTTTTGTTGTAGTGTGGTGTGGTCAACAGGGGAGTCTCCCGAGTAGTAGTCACATTTGAAACAGTCGCCAACCAAGAAGGCACCACTGGAGGGGTCACTTGAGAGGAGCTCGCCAAAGCATCGCTCATCCTATCCACCTTAGGAGAACGGGGTGCTCCTAGTGGAATAACAGAACTCAACCACCATTTTATCCACTGTAAGAGAGAGAAAAGTGTCATCTAGATGAAAAATCAAGTAAAGGAAAAAAGTACAAAACAATCAACGTACCTTTTTCTCTTCAAGGAGGAACCACCCAGATCTCGGAAAGGGTGCACAAGCCCTAGCACCAACTGTAGGGGAACCACTGGATCCACCATCTTTAAGCATAAGAACTCCAAAGTCTTTTATAGAATTAGCTCTCACAGCCTGCAACTTTCACTCTTGGTTCTTCGAGAGCGCAGGAGAACTTGCAAAGGATATGATGAGTACACAATTACAAAAAAAAAAGGCGAATGAGGGAGAGTAAGTGTGGGGGCATACCAAGTTTCTTAGGAATACCTCATCCTATTGGTACCAAAGCCCTATCAGCCTCTGAAGTCCACTCTTCGCCGACGAACATGAAGTGAGACTTCCAGCTATGACAGTTGGAGCGTAGTTCGGTAATCAACTTACCTCTTCTCGTAGTAAAATAGTACCAATCTCGATTAGGAGTAGGAGTCTCACTTAAAGTGTAAGCTGCATAAAAATTGTCAGGAAAGGCATCCTCATGATTCACCTTCCTCCACAATACTAGAAAAATGTTGCAAAACTCTCCAACCATTAGGCGTCAACTGCCCTGGTGTAAGTGACAAGTAATGCAGAATACAACAAATGAAAGAAGGCATTGGGGACCTGAGCCCAGCCTCAAGCATCTCCTCATAGCAATGTCTCCAAATGAGTCATCACAAGCAGACTCACCCATCTCAGCTCAACGTCACAATACCGTTGGAGGACTATGATAAGCAGAGACAATCCGCAGAATGTCAGCATCGGTATTAAGCATACTAGAGATGGTACTTACTTTGGATTCATCATCGTCAAGAGCTACCTTCCCTTGGTACTTTTTGTTACGAGGGCGTGAAAGGTTTCCTAAGCCATTGCCAAGGAAGGCTTGAGGAATCTGACTTTGAGAAGTTTCACCTAGAGGAGCCAGATCATTTGCCACATTATTAGAATTGTTTATCACCAAAAGTGCCTGTCACAAGCTACGTCTCGCCCGCCGCCAACAGCTCCTCGCCGAACACTTGGGTCGCCCCAACCACAACGCCAAGCGCTTGGGCAACCTTGGGATGTCTGGCCAGCGGCACCCAGGTCTTCCCTCTCCTTGTCGGTACAGGCGCGCAACATTACTGCCCCCTTAAGCGTATAACCAGCTCACCCAGCGGCGTCTCCATCTCAACTTCGACGCCCAATACCTCCCTTAAACCACGTGCCTCCTCTCCTGGGACAAATCCAATCTCTTCAAGATTGACGGGTACTGGCACATCTTCTCTTTCGACCGACATGTCTCTCTGAAACACTCCACTCAAAGGTCTCACCTCTTGATTTTTCTTTGAAGAATCTTGCAAAAAATTCATTTCTATGGAATGGGGAAGAAACTCCCTATTTATATCCTAGGGTTTTTTAAAATCCAATTAAGGAATGGAAAAAGGGGAAAAGTCCCTATTTGAAACCAAGGGCTCTCCTAGAATTCAATATAAAATGGGAAAGTTCTTGAGAAGTCCTCCAAAGTTGCAATATATCAGGAATGAAATAAGTCTCCAAGGAATCCAAGTTCAAGAAGGGTTGATCGCAATTCTGATCGTAACTTTTGATCAATTTCTTCAAGCGGACCCCATTATATATCAAATTAAAACTCTTAGCGAGCCCTAAAAGACTCACTTCCTTTGGCTATGACAGAAGTTGCTAAAAGCCCAAAAAAGGCCTAGAAATATATGTTTTGGTCTCTCGAAGTTTTTTCAGTTGTGTGTTCAGCCGAAATTCAAATTCAACTGAGTGCCCTCCTCTCCAAGTTTTATTGGACATAGGGCATTGAGGGGCAAATGATGGGTCAAGCCCAAGGGTCCAACCCATATTCTGAGCCCAGTTTAAATTAAGAGTCCGACTTAAGAGAGATCTAATAAATCCAACCCAAAGTGATTTATACTCGGTCAAATTCATTAGGGTTCGAGGAGCTACATCACCAGGGGAGTATGCAGGGTCATCTAAGAGTCTCATCCACTCCACCTTGGAAAAAGTCAACCACTACGTCATATTTGACCGAATTTAATAGGGAGCGTCGTAACTGCCTCATTCGTTAAGAATGACTCCACTAGATTAGTCACTTAGTTACTGATAAATTACCTCAATCTGTTAGGAGACGATTATATATTGTAAGCCCCGCCAACACTTGGGGGACATCAGACTCAATTGAGCACATCCTCTACTCTCTCTTATTTTATCTTGTATCTCTCTGCTCTTACTACACACCTTGAAGTAATAAAATACCCAGGCGACCCTAACCCTTCAAAGTAGACGTAGGTCACATTGACCAGACAACTATAAATTCATGTATCATTTTTCCTCTTTCTACTTTACTACTGCATTTATCACTGTTCAGTTGACAAGTAGTGTACAAAATCAATTTGTGCTTCATCAAAATTTGTTTATTAAGTCATTGTAAATTATTAAATTAATGAGTCTTATTTTTTTTTTTAAATAAGACTCGCTTATTCAATGATTCTTATTAATTTAATAAAAAAATTTGTTAAACGCATTTTTACCCTTAATTCCAAGATGCAAGTTGTAAGATCATATTATCTTTAGAGAGAGGTAAGGAAAGAAAGAGAGGAGAAGACTTTTCAAATCAATGATTTTTTTTTTTGTATTTTTTGGTTATAGGGTGTTCTTTGTATCAATTATTTTCTCAATTCCAACAGTTGATCATTGTGATTTGAATTGGATTAGAACATGTCCCTAGGGGTATAGTTCGGGCAAATTGAACAGGTTGAGAGGTCAACCTTAATGACTTCTTTGCAACGGAGAAGCTAAGAAGTCACCACAGCCACTGCCCAATGCCATTATAGAACAGCCCTTTCCCACTGCCACCACACCACAGTTACAACCTCTACCATCACCTGTCCAATGATGTTCGTCGCTGAGAGAGGCACACATCTGAGAGAGGTTCTTTGAGTCGTTGTGGTCTTCAGCACAAATCAAGGCTTGGTCTTTGACGCGTTGTGGTCTTCGCAGATCTAACTATATGAGAGAGAGGCTGAGAGGGAGGCTGAGATGAAGTGAGAGAGGGGAGGCTTTGAAAGGGAGGTTGAGAATGAGAAATAGTCAGAGAGGCACATGGGAACCTAATGCATAATATATATACATTTTAATTTGTTGTCTAATAACTCAAGGTCTTAATTTGGGTGTTGCCCGAATTTAATTCAAGTTAGAGTTTTTGAACTCAGGTTCAATTCAAAATTTTAAAATCTCAATTCAAGACTTATTTTTATCGGGTTGGCCCGCCCAAACTGCACCCGTTACATGTCCTTTTAGGGATAAAGATGACTAGCCCTTAAAGAATATGAAAAAAAAATGAACTTAAAATATTTATCTATATTACTTATAAATGTCAACATTTGTAAAAAAAATTTTTGATTTTTGATTTTATTCCTAATTATTATAATAAAATTAATTATACTCATCTATATATCTTTATCTAATTTTTTTTTTGCAATTACTTAACTTTTAATTTATTTTAAACTTTTTTATAAGGACTTGTAAATTCTTTAAAACTCATTTATTAATATTACAGTTATATATAATTATCTACATCTATACATAAAAGTAAAGTTCTATACGGCCAATTATATGTTATATTTTTTTGTATGTAATAATATAATAATATTACAAGTGATTTAATAAACCTATTTAATAAAATCAAAATTAATAATTTTATAATATATAATTAGATATGAAAATTTCTAAAAAAGATCAGAGAGATACCTAAATAAATGACAGATTAAATAATAAAAAACTTATATAGTAAATAAATAATTAAATTTAGTAATGTTTAAAATACAAATTAATTATTTGGAAACTAATTAATTATTTAATTTAATTACACAAATAATTTATATTTTTTTATAAAAATAATATTATTTAAATATTAATACTATGAGAACATAATTTAAAGACTTATTATATAATAATAATTGAATTAATAATGTTGCGTAATAGTCATAATTATTAAGTTCCCAACTTATATTATTAAACTATATCCAAATAGCATTTGTCATTATTAAATGTCATGTTCAATCGTTAAACAGCCCCTTATCAAATTAATGAACTTAACCAGCAAAAACAAAAATTGAAATTAATGAACTTGAATAGGACTTGGGAGTATCAACCCTCTTTTAGTACTTAGTCCTCACAGACCCACGCGCCCTGGTGTCGCGTGATATCTGCTGAACTCTAACCTGCAATATAAGGTACGGTGATCCCTTCTGCTCAGCCATGCCTATCAAGAAAATAAAACCCTACCCTCTCTCTCTCTCTAACCATCAGATAGCATCAGAACTTCCTCTTTACTTTCTCTCTCTGGTCGGACTGGTCCTACCCTATCCTCCTCAGCATCTCAAACTATACTCCCAAACCCGCCGTTACCTGAGCTTTCTCTACATGAAGATGAGAAACAAAGGTAAAATATACCCATCTCCATCTTCTTCACCATCTCCTCCCTCATACTCTCCAAACAGAGACGCTTTGTCTGTTTTGAAGCTCTTACCAGCTGCTATTCTAGCCCTAGCCTCAGTTCTCTCTATTGAAGACAAAGAAGTTTTGGCATATATGATAACAAGGTCCACAAACCCGTCATCTGTCATTGAAGAGAAGAAGAAAAACAGCAAGAAATCCAATACCCACAAGCCTCCTGTGTTTGATTGTGAGTGTTTCGATTGTTATACTAGCTATTGGTTCAGGTGGGACTCTTCTCCCAACCGTGAGTTGATTCACCAAGCCATTGAAGCCTTTGAAGAACACTTGAACAACGGCGAACACTCGAAGAAAAACAAAAATAAGAAGAGAGAGAAAACGTGTCGTCGTGCAAATGAAAAAGTGGCGTCTGTGTCGGACACACCCGTGCCGGAGAGGGAAAATGATCTGCCGGAGATTGAAGAAAGTATTGCACAGATTATCCCCAGTAATGAGGTGTCTTCGCTTGAAATAGCTGAGATGGCATCGGGAAATGAAGAAGATGGGATTGTTATGGCTGAAGATAACTTCCCGGAGGAGATGGCGGCGTCACCGGAGATGGCGGTGGTTGTGAGTGGTAGCACAGTGAACAATCACAAGGGTTTGGCCAGAAAGGTATTGCCGGACCTGTTAGGGTTATTCAATTCACGTTTGTGGAGTCTTTGGAATCCGAACATGTGAGAGAAAAAATCCAATCTTTTTAACAGTGGAAAAAAAAAAAGGTTTATGTGGTGCTGGTGGGTTAGTCTTTATGGTCCCTTTCATTAAGCATTTGTTTATTTGCTTTTTGGGTTTTTAATGCCTGAGCTGAAGGCATTTCACCGGCGGGAAGTTTTTTTCCGGTGAAGTTGTGGTCTGTATAATTTTCCACGAAATTATATATTTACATTTTTTGATTGGGCGTCAATTTATCTGCTTATTATCTACGCATTGTGAGTAGGTGAATATAATTGCTTGCATGGACCAATGAATGTGACTTTTCCAACTTGATGTTTCAGACTTTCACGGCTTCATTATTTTTTGTCAAACTGAATTTCTAATTTCGAAAATATAATATATTATAATTATTAATATTTTACTAATTTTAATAATTATACTAAATTGAATTTTCCATCTTAAATCCCTAAATTAATTCCAATTTTAGACCTGTCATGTCGAATAAAGCAGCTTTGGAACATTATTTATTAATTATATCGGGTCAAATTTATTTACTTATAAAATGAATAATTTAAAAAAAGATATAAATTTTTTAATTTTGTATTATATTTTTATTGTGTTAATAAATTGTATAATATATATATTTTTAATTAGTGTTTATACCGTAAAATCTAGATAGGAATGATAGGGCTATGGGTACCCTACTTACTTTTAATGTCAATGATGCGGTATTCTATGCATTCTTGTTTAATGCTTTTAGTGAGAATCATTTGAAATACTAATAAAGTACNGATATAAATTTTTTAATTTTGTATTATATTTTTATTGTGTTAATAAATTGTATAATATATATATTTTTAATTAGTGTTTATACTGTAAAATCTAGATAGGAATGATAGGGCTATGGGTACCCTACTTACTTTTTGAATGTCAATGATGCGGTATGCATTCTTGTTTAATGCTTTTAGTGAGAATCATTTGAAATACTAATAAAGTACTTAACTTTATTATAGTTTTTGGGAGACAACTAATTGGGGTTTGGAGTTTGGATTCTTGACTTGGGAGTTGAGGCGTTGGGGGGAAAAACCCATTTGGCAATTCATGGTGGTGAAAGTACTTGGCAATTGGCTAGCCTGAGCTGTAGTTATTTCCGTCAGACNACTTGAGGCGTTGGGGGAAAAACCCATTTGGCAATTCATGGTGGTGTTGGCAATTGGCTAGCCTGAGCTGTAGTTATTTCCGTCAGACCAATGATATAAAGGCCTAATACACTTAGGGGATTAGTTGTAAGTTTTAACGATAGACATAGCCTAATCAATTCGATAGTTATTTCTAAATAAGATTTAAATAATATTTTTATTTCCGTAATATGATAATGTTGGTCCCTTTTGGTAACTTCATATTTTCGTAATAAAAATTAATTTTATTTTTTTTAAATTTAAAACGATGTGTCCTTTTTGGTTTTCTTCGGTGAAAAGTATTATGAGATGCCCTGTTGCNAGTTGAGGCGTTGGGGGGAAAAACCCATTTGGCAATTCATGGTGGTGAAAGTACTTGGCAATTGGCTAGCCTGAGCTGTAGTTATTTCCGTCAGACCAATGATATAAAGGCCTAATACAATTAGGGGATTAGTTGTAAGTTTTAACGATAGACATAGTCTAATCAATTCGATAGTTATTTCTAAATAAGATTTAAATAATATTTTTATTTCTGTAATATAATAATGTTGGTCCCTTTTGGTAACTTCATATTTTCGTAATAAAAATTAATTTTATTTTTTTTAAATATAAGACGATGTGTCCTTTTTGGTTTTCTTCGGTGAAAAGTATTATGAGATGCCCTGTTGCATACCATACCATCTTATGATCCTAAAATGAGATGTCCTGTTGCATACCATACCAACATATATCATAACTAGAATAATGTGACCAGATCATAAATTATTGTGCACTGTACTTTATGTGGGGTCCAGTGGAGGTGCGGTTTAAACTTATCCATACGTGGTCCGACTCACCTGCACCACTTATGCGTACTGCATACAGACAATTCTCCATCTNTATTATTGTCCGGTGCACCGTACTTTATGTGGGGTCCAGTGGAGGTGCGGTTTAAACTTATCCATACGTGGTCCGNTGTGCACTGTACTTTATGTGGGGTCCAGTGGAGGTGCGGTTTAAACTTATCCATACGTGGTCCGACTCACCTGCACCACTTATGCGTACTGCATACAGACAATTCTCCATCTAATGGTCTAAACATTTTGCCTTGTTGGTAAATTACACTCCCTTCTGCTCAAAACTTATCCGTAACAAATGACCCCAGTTGTTAATGTGCTGTTTGAAAGACGTAATAATTTTGATGATGGAATCAATTTGATTTTTAAAAATACCAATCTTACCATTTATCGACCAACTTGCATTTTTAGAAAACAAGACATGTTGACTTTAGGCGGTTTGATAGTAATGTATATAAACGTGGGTAGTGCAAAGCGCGCCTAAAAAAGGCGCTGAGGAGTTATGTTAGAAAAGGCCGAGTGCACCCCTCAAAGCCTATCATTAAAAAAGGTCTGACAACTCATTAATGTAAGTTTTGAGTGGTTGTAGCAGAGTCATTAATGAGTCTCTAGATCCTCGAAAAATATGGAGATAGTCATCATTAAGAAGTATTAATAGTTATTACGTCGACATGAAGTCCTTAGCCAATCCTAAGGGTGCTTGTTCTCGACTAGTGAATGCTTAGACGTAGGTGTCAAGTATGGAGAAAATGTATTTAATGACTGGGGGTTGAGCCATGAATGCTCGGTGGTTCCCGAGCATAGGTCCATTTGTCCATAAGCACCAGTTTTAATGAGACTTGATTGAATGACACTCATTATGCAAGAACAAGAGCACATGCTATTAAACTCTAGGATGAGACTCAAAGGTAAGACCATCATTGCAAACTCAGGTATAAATATCCCTTAACAAGCTAGTCTAAGTTACACAATCTGAAAATAGAGAACATATTATGCTTATGACTCCAATGCCGACTGACTTGAGCTTTAGAGGGGTTTAGTCAGGTACACACCCAACCTCTTTCCTAATTCTTTGATTGGTTCAGGTTTATCGCTCAGGATCATTCAATGTATCCCTATCTCAACTCATTGTAGAAATTTGCCTGTGCAATTTGGCAATGTCTATGGGAAGTCTATGGACCAACTTTTCCCATAGCGATAGTGTCATGGTGAACACATGATTCGAAGGTGAGTTGGGGGGCAGCCTATGCATGAGAAACGTGGAAGTCAGCCGGCTTAAACTAGCTGAATGGAGTTCTGTGTGACTCATAACAAACATTACCAGTGGACCAGAGCTTGGGGGGACAAGGCATCTTGGCTTGGGAAATCGTCGAGTTAATAGAGAAATGAATGGGAGGCCATTTGAAATGGGCCGATGAATTTGAGCGGTCAGAGGAGACTAGCTAGTAGAGTAATAGGCGTGGAGACAGGAGTATCCACTAGAGTTATTCCCGGGGTATAAGGCAGGAGGCCTTGGGGCAAAGCTTGCATGAGCGCCTAGGTGAGAAGCACAGGACTCGGAGTTATGAAGGGCGTGCCCTTGAGGATAGATCTAAAGAAAGTAAGAAGCATTGGCAAGATCTATCCCATGGAGATATCCACCACAGACTCTCCGGGGGTGCAAAGGCGATAGAATCCCACACGGGCTCGACTGTAAGAGGACCTAGAAATAAGAAACCCCGAGAGGATCTCTGTTTAAACCTAGATGCCAAGTGCCAAAAGCCCCTCCGAATAGAGGATGAGGACACGGAGGATGAGAAAATCCTCTCACCATTCGTCTAAGCTATTAGGGAGATTGAAATGTCGAGGAAGTTCACTGTCCCCCGTTTCAAGGTTTACGATGACAGGATAGATCTCGAGGGCCATCTACAGCAGTATAAAAAACTAATGTTCATCTATGACACCGACTAAAGATTCTTATGCCGAGTATTCCCCATGAGCCTAGGGGACACTACCATGAAATGGTATGAAAGCTTGGCTCTAGAAAGTATTAGGTCATGAAAGCAAATGATCGAATTATTTGTTATTTGATTTATCACTAGCTGCAAAAGGCTGAAAGACATTAGTGCTCTACTAATGCTCAAACGGAGGAGTATGGAGACCCTTCGGCAGTATGCAATCTGATATTGGGATGAGGTGAATGAAGTTAAGGCATGTTCTGAGATCATGGCGGCAAAACCTTCTGGCTAGGGTTGTCCTGAGACTCTAACCTGTATCGGTCTTTGACTAAGTGAACTCCAGTGGATATGAATGACATAATGTCTCGTATAAACAAGTATGCTAATGTGGAAGAAGATTCTATTATTCCTGAGGCCAAAGCTCTTGTGTTAAAAAAACAGGATAAGGAGCATCGTTGGGGGGGCACTGAGAGGTTCGATATGGTAAAATTTCCTTGTCGAAATGCCGATGTCTTTGCAAGCACCCCCGCCGAGATGATGGGGATAAGTCCTAAAGTAATATGTCATCGGCTTCATGTTGATCCAACTTTCAAACTCGTGAAGCAAAAGGCTCGGAGGCCGACGCCTCATCACATACAGGTTGTTGACGAGGAGGTGGACTGGTTGCTTAGGGCTAGATTAATTAGGAAGGCCCAATTCCCCGAGTGGCTATCCAACACGATTTGTGCAAAAAAGAAAGGCAAAAAATGGCGGGTTTGTGTGGACTTCAGACCTGAACAAGACATGTCCCAAAGATGAATACCTGTTGCCAAAGGTCAACCAGAATCGCAGGACATGAGTGAATTAACTTCATGGATGCCCGAGCAGGCTATAATCAGATTCTTTTACAAGAATCTAATCAACATAAAACAACATTTATCACATTTTGAGGGATATATTGTTACACAATGGTGCCGTTTGGTTTGAAGAATGTCGTTGCCACATATCAGCACCTGATGGACAAGATGTTTAAGCAACAACTCGGCGCCACTATGAAAGCTTATATTGATGACATGTTGGTAAAGAGTAAGGTG